CGTGGTGTGCTCCCCCCTCTCCTGGGTTATTGGGATTGTTTCTTCGGTAGTGTTACCGAATGCAAAATTGACCCTAGCGGTAGTCCGTGAAGTGCATCGTAGCTGGTTTTGATGCAGGTAATCGCGTAGCTCAAGGCCAGAAATTTGTAAGGAAAAATACACAACGGTAGACTGTGACAGAGCTGCTTGTCGCAAGTGCTGTTGCGTTGTTCTCCCTGCCGTGCTGGAGCGGCACAGGGCAGCCGAGGAGTCTGTTGGTATGTTTTAATGCTGCATGTCCCACACTGGTTCCTCCAGGGGCATGCCCGGCTCACCGGGAGCACTGCTGGCGGTGTATGGAACATGGATTTCTGGTTAATGGACTTGGATTATTAAGGTTAAATGATTTCGATATACTTAGAACCGACTTATCCAAAGTCGCCCAGCAAAGCCAGGAATAGAGCCTGGGCATAACATTACAACCCACAGCGCGATTCCTTAGCTTACATGGTTTCAGTAGTAAAGTTGATCCATACATTGTATTACCTGTGTAGGTTGAGAGCGTTCCTCTGCTGACTTCTCTGCCTGAAACATCTCCTGTGGTGTCTGTCTCTCTCTGTGTCTTTCTCTCAATGTTCTGATAAGTAGATTTCTATAAATAAATATACCATCTGCTTGTTTCAAAGAATAGGGTGTGTTTTCTGCTGTACTGATGTGGAGCTTTTCTGAAATACAAGCCAGTGACTCTCAAAACTTCAAAGCCTACCTTTTTTCTGATTGGAAGCAAATACAAAACAACCCAGCCTGACCTCCAGTTAAAAATGAGCTGCTACTGAAGATGATGTGGAAGTGTGGAGCTGAGTTTTGAAAGCGCTGGGGGCTTCAGGCAGCTCCCAGGAGAGTTACTGTGAGGCCAGGCTGATAAGGTGAGTAGGGGCTGGACTCAGTAGTATTTCTATGGTTTCTCTCCAGGGATTGCTAAAGCTCTGAAGAGGAAGAGTAACAAAAGCTAATCGGAGTTCTGGCAGAAATGGTTTTCCCCTGGAATTTCCCTGGCATTGATAGATCTGCAGAGGACATCCAGATTTAGACAACTGTGCAAACTTGGAGATAAACCTGTTTTGTCACATTTTTCTTATATATTCTGAGGTGCTAAACACATAGTTTGGCTTTGAATATGCATCATGTAAGATACGTGTGGTGTTCTGCATACAGAGCCATACACAAGTCACTTCAGATTCCAAGAGTGGGACAGATGTTATTCGTGACAGCATGTACAGCAAGGATCAAGGGTACTCAAATACATCTATTGCATAATACTATATATGGAGTGCTTTGAACACGTCTTGTGATTAATTGCAAGGATTAAGACATAAAGGAAATATTTTGCTAAGTGAATTCAGGATCCTCAAAGTTTTCCCCTTAAGAGAAAATTTTGAACCACCTGAAAAATCAGATCCTGCAGGTGTAACTGTTCTTTAAAGTGACTGTGAAAGTAACATTGTTTGGTATTAGCTTTCTCTGTGACTTCTGAACAAAGCTGGTAACCTTGTTGAAGTAGAAAGATTTTTTTTTTTTCCTACTTGTGTAATCTGTAAGATTAATCTGAATGAGAAAGTCAAATTATTTTATCTTCTGTCTGTCATGGTTTAACCTCAGTCAGCAACTGAGCACCACACAGC